CCATACCAACACATACCATCGGGTATCGAGGATTTTCCCGATGTGTAAACTGATAACGTTAGCAGTTCTGCCGATGTTCGACCGTCTCCTGCTCCGCCTATCTCCTTGTATCTAGTGTCGATATTTCTCTCCTTATTACGGCCAGTCGAGTCGCTGTTACTCCTTGGCCGTTGCATCAGTCGACATGCAATAAAAGCGCAATTAGCCGCCTTGTGTCCTCCACGGTTATTTAGATCGGACGATAGCTGAAACCAGAGCAACTGATAAAACTTGGTACACTTGTTCCCGACTTCCTGAATAGAGTGCTAAATGTCGTTCTCGAAATAGGTGGCAGGATAATTGGAAAGGAGAACTAATTTCGAAGGATGTTATCGAGAATGGCGACTGCCAAGACATTAGTGGTCCTTGACATGGCTAAATCTCTTTCACTTCTCAATGTAACTTCATGACGACATGATAAGACCTGCAGATTACAGAAGGCTCAACGTTATGTGTATGTTAACGGAAATGTCTGTAATCCGTCATTGTATACAATTCCTAGGAAATGTATATAATTCCGGAAATGTCTGAAATATATTATATAAGACACACTTCCTAGGAAATCTATACATTTCCTAAAAAGCAATCGGAATTGTATTACAGGTATTACTAAATAGGCAATATTATAGCAGGCTGTTTGGAGATGTATGTACCTATATCCATTGGTGACGTCATTGTTTAGGTAGGGAGATTTGACATACTGGAGTTTCTTAAATACCCCTGCCCGCCGAAAGCGGGCTGATATGTTAGATGTTAGAATAATGTGACGAGGATATCTTTGTTTCAGCAAACATGATGACCTTGAATCTTTAGTATGTTGTAGAGGTGATACTGCTGATCATTTTCATATATACCTATATATGTTAGGCGCGGGGATCATAATGAAGCATACTTTTCGAAGACATTATTCCAACAATTCATAGATCTACCTAATAAGAATACAATAACGTCACTAATACATATACATTTCCAAACCTAACCTAACCTAACCAAACAAAAACGTCATCAACGCATATACAGGCCTGACGCTGGAAGCTGGCGGAAATTTTAAAATGAAGTGGATGCGCGGTGGCAAAATTAGGCAGTTTTAGGTATAACGATTGCAGCCCTCTTTCTTCAGTATTCTTATCAGGAGCGTAGATTAAATATTTAAAAACAAGGATCAGTTTACAAAATTAAATTTAAAAAATTAAGTTATTCGGTTGGTTTTCAAGTTTATGTAAAAAAGAAATTGGCGCAATAATTTAGTTTAATGTGATTTATTTAAATGCTATGTTAGATAATGAGCAAATAATGATGTTGATGTCGGTGACAGTGATAGTGATGAGGCCAGTGAATATGAAAATCAACTACAAAACAAACAAAGACTATATTATTTCCTTGTACGCTACTGTCCTATCTGTATTAATACAATAGTTTACGCCTACTGAAAGCTTATTTGTATACCGGTTCAGAGTGATCTACCCAGTTAGGCCATAAATGGGCAATTGCCTGCGTGACCGCTCTCCAGCTTGCTTCGTCCGACCTATACATTACTTACAACAGTATATCTATGGTACCATTTGAATAAATTAATATTTAATTTCTTCCTGCACCCAAAACAAATTTTCCTTTTTTTTTACAGAACTAATGGACATACAGTGATACTTACATATTTAGAACCCGCAAACGGCGCATAATTTATGATTAAAGTTTAAATTAGAGAATTATGTATATCGGGTGTCCGATTCACACAACTATCATATGCATATGATTATTATGTTATTTACGGCTGCGATCTCCATGTTGTTGTAGTTGGGACGTTCAAAATTGGTCCACAATAACGCTCTCGCATTTTCTTCTTTCAACTTACTAACTAGACTAGAGTCATAGATAACTAGAGTGGTAACCATCGACGTTTACTAATGAACATGCCTTAGCGGTCAGAATTGTGGTACAATAAAAGAAAGAGATGGAATGAAGTTTCGGACAATATCCATCTCTCTCACGATAGTGCGGAAGCGTGTAATGAAAGAGATAGCACTAGTCCGAAACCATACGCCATCTCCCTCACTTTTCGAGCCAAGAAATTATTACAATACATACGGCTAAGGCACGTCCATTAATATATGTCTATGGTATATCTTGTATATCTATTATATATGATCATGACATTATCTATGATCATGAGCAATTATGGCTGTAATGGCTGAGCGGCCTAAGCGGTTAAGCGCTAGTTAGCAATAGAGAATACATTTATGAATACAAGATTAAAAAAAATATACTCATCAGTAATACCAGAATTGTGAAAATGAGAATTATGACTAGAAAAAAGTAGCTACTACTCAATTATCCTTTTGTCAAGAAAATGTGCCTTTCAATGTTGTGATATCGCGTTAAGAAAAAACTGCCAAAATGTTTAAAAAAAACAAAAAAGATAAAGCTAAACTGGAACACAAGCTTTATCTGGTACTTATTAGTATATATTCATATGATTATACATACCTTTTTTATAAAATGCATTGTAGGCAAGAGAGACACCAGAGCTTGTGTTTGATATTTCTGAATGTGATTTAAAGGCAGTTCCTCCAGGCATCTACTCATTGTGCAAAGTATTTCTTAAAGAAAAATTAGAATTACAAAAAAATTCTTTAACATCTTTGAATGGAGGTGGTAATTTAAGTGATTTATGTACACTAAAGGTATTAAACGTTAGTTATAATGCATTAACATTTCTTCCAAATGAAATTGATCAACTAACTAATCTTCAGGTATGTTATTTAAATTTTTTATAGGTACCTAAGTATTCAATATTAAAAACAATCATTTAAATCACAGGAATTATATGTCAATGACAATCACTTAAAACAACTACCTTCTACAATTTGTCATTTAAAGTATCTTCAAATTTTTGATGTTTCAACCAACAAACTAAAAAACTTACCAGAAAATTTGGGTAGTATGGTCAGTCTGCAAGAAATTAACTTAAAAAATAATCCAAAATTACATGAACTACCTAAAAGTATCAGCTGTTTACATAACATGCAATGTATACAAATTGACATTACCGGCTTTACCTATCCACCTGAGGAAATTGTGAAAAATGGAACTTCATCTATTATGAAATTTATTTGTGAAGGTATATACATAGAAGTCATCCCAAACAAGAATCTTTCTTTTGAAGGCAGGGTTGAACAGGTTTAAATTATATTTTAATTGGGTGATTTTTTTTTAAATCAGTGATTTTAATTATCAGCTAGTAATCAATAAAAAAGCAAAACAATTTAGGTATCGTTAACAAATACAAAAGAGAAGGAAAACACCTCAGCTGATGCTGAGAAAGCCACACTGCAGAGTAACATAATAAAACAGATACATGGTGATGATCACCAATAATGAGCAAAATTTTCGTGAAAATAGAATCTGGCATTGCTTGAAAGTGACTTCAAACATTCAGTACTAATGTTTTTATGAATATTTTACTTTACAACACATAATTATAACTAATTATTTCACAACATGTGTAGAACAGCTGCATAAATATGCATGTTACTAGTACTCTGCTTCTTCAAGTGCTCACTGTAGGCAGCATCAATTGAAGACTGAATCGGGTGTGCTTCCCCTCCTTATTTCCTGTAATGCATATGAATACAGTCCTATACCTAAGTGAGTTGGATTATCAAAATAAAATGTTAAATGTCAAAACTATTCCTTAAAACCTCAGAAACAGTATTCTTTCTTGTTTAACATTCTGTTATCCGTTACCATTCGTAAGCGTGATGAATAATTGAATAACGAAAGGTTGAAAACAATTGTTACTGACGTATGGATTTTTCTATTAAAAAACAAACAATTGCTTTTGAATGTAGGTCTCCAAACTGAATGTAAAAATTTAAATTATCAAAATAAAATATTCTACATATGCCAAAATCAGTAACACATGTAAAAAGTCATTCTGTGTTAAAGTTAACACTTTTGCCCCTAGGAAAGAAAGATTCTTAATTGGTACATTCTGTATAATAGGTGTATTCGTTTGTCTTTATTAGTACGCTTGAAAGATACGCATGGGTGAATCGTTAAAAGCAAACAAACACACCTAATATTTTTTTTTCACAAAACGATTAATTTCGCATAATTTATAGATATGGGTCAAGTGTATGTATCACAGAATGAACCTACTGAATTAGAGAGAAGCAATTCTAATAAAAGCATTCCAAGGAGTCTTAGTAATAGCATAAAGGTATTGTTTTATTCATGTTTTTATCAATTTTAAAAACGAGAAAATAAGCTAAAAGAGACTCACTCTATTTACCACTAAAATTTTGCACTATGGACAAGTATCATATCTAATGTGACATTATCAGCTCAAGGCGTGTGAGCAAAACAGTGTTTAGTGTTAATAAAGGGTGAGACTCATAGTTTATTTATTCCTTTAGAACGGTCTAGTTTTTATTTGTTATTGAAGAGATGGTACAGAAAAAGTATTAAATATTTTTATAGAATATATATACACAAATGTACTTTAAACAGAACAATCACAATTATGCACTAAAAAATTATAGCGCTTTTCAAGTTAACTAATTACATCTGCAATAATTAAAAACAAAAGTAACAAACATTTTTTTATCTTATCTGACAAAAAACACGTTTGTTGTAACACGATGATAGGATCTCGCATCTAAAGCATGTGCCTGGAGTTAGATTAATCATTGCGGCTGAAGATGTTTCTATTTTACATTCTGCAGTTTTCATTTTTTCAATTAAATTTTAAAACGAAGAAGTGCGGCAATTAATTGAATTCCGGCAACGGGGATACGCAAGTTCAAGTTAATATACCAGCAGCCGGATCGTTCTCATACAACTTAAAATCCCAATAGTTTACATCATTACTTAAGATTAGAGATCGCTGAGAGCAATATGGTAAAAGTCTCAGTCAGTATACTTACTTTCGATTGCATTAAAATTTTGATGTGTTATGCAGTTCACTATTTCTTTTTTGTTTTCGTTGAAGAGAAGGACACTTCAAAAACGTAGTAGCGTCTGAGGGGGATTTACCAACTAACACATTTCTATAAATACATCAGGTCATTATAGGAAAAAAAAACAACTTTTGGATGTTTCGTTCCCACCAGCCAGTAATGCTGGTGGGCGGGCAGTCCCTCCGGACTACGCCGGAAGGTAGGGTGGAAGGCCTTCTTCAGCCTGCTTTCAGGAATCGTGGGAATGGGTGGGTGGTGGTTCGGGTGAGAAAGATAAGACAGACGAAATGAAGACAGAAGAGAATGAAAGATTATCTGTGTAATATTACTGCCTCAGCATTTGCCTAGGTGATCCAAGGAAACCACAGAAAAACTTAGTTTAACCAAATCTAACCTGACCCAACTCCAATTTCTCAAAGAAAGTACACAACTACTACAACACTCACGTCGTTCATGTTTTCATTACCTACCGCAACCTGATGATCCTAACCGGCCAAATAAAATCATTCAAGTGCTGATTGGTGCACAATATTTTTAGTTAGCCCGTCTTTTGTTAACACATAAATTTGATAGAGCAGGCATCAGTTGATTATGGGAGAAGTATATTCCCAGTGTAAGCAGCAAATGGACACTGTTTGGCATCAGGAAACCGAAATACAATGTCATCTACTTGATGCTTACCCCACCTTGATAGCAAAATATTTGGAAGTGGAATTAACCAATACCGCTATCTGTTAGAAACTTATGGAACTTACAAGCAATTGCAACTATTGTCGTACATAATAAACAGTTAGGTCAAAAACACCCTATCTTTTAAGTTTGACAAAGTTAGCCAAATTTCATAAAAAATGGTCAAGTAGTTTCGGAGCTTTTCCCAAAAAGCATCGTGACCCTAGATTTATATACATATATATATAGTGCCTAAACTACAAAATTTTAAGTATCATAAAATGAGTCAATGCTTTGACTTCCTGCAGTGCATCAATAATTTCAGTTTCTCGCGTGCAAGACTAATTTTGTCCCAGCGGTAAGCAGTAAGACCATCATCCATTTTTCCAATTAGGTAATATGTAATAAGTAAATTATTAATAAAGTTTTAACTAGTATATTATATATAAATATTTTTATCGCTTCCAATTGTTACGAATAGATGAATAGAGTGTAAAACTGCACTTTTCGAATCTCATTTGGAATAACAAAAGGAAATGTACCAAACACTATAACATTGGCCCTCTTTTACTGTCGCCAGCCTACTAGTACTAGAATAAATATTCTAAGTGAAACCTATCAAAATTCATTAACAGTAGACCGAAGTGTGAACAGTGTCCCGTGTTACCGTTGGTGGTTAGGGGATACATTAAAAAGTCCCAAAGTTTTTGACATCCATGCATGACTCTCCATCCATTGTCACTGTTGATGAATTTTGATAGGTGTAGCTATTCAAAATACCACATAACAACGGGAAATTCGCACCTGGCGATAGCGGCAAACGGTAACTTCATTATGAATAGCTTCTGAGCTGATGATAATTGTCCCCAACACACAAAAACATTGATAATAATAAAAAATATATACAAGGCATTTCTGAAAAAGTAACAAGCTTGCAGCTGTTAAGATCCATAAAACAAGAAAATTAAGTAAATGTTTGGTTACCCGAAAGTTCACTGTTTTCGAGAAAAAAGTAGTTCAAAATAGAGATAAAAACTAGTCCGACCCTGGTAGATCACGCAGGAAAATACAACAATGCAACGTCAACGACAATGCAACGTCTCATTTAATCAACTGATAAATAATTACCAATATCAGTGATGCATTATTTTGTATTTTTAGCCTCACGCATTGTTTATTTGTGATATTATATTACGTGTGATTGACTGTTTATGTTACAGCCAGCCTACAGTAGTTTGTACTTTTAGCATTGTGGCTGTACGTATGTAGTCTGTAGAAGTAACGTCACTACGAAGTCATTTACAGTAGGTCAGTGTAGAACAGTAGTTGTTACAATGGCATTTAGTAAGGCAGAAATTTGTGACATGATACTAATTTACGACATTGTGGTCAACAACCGCACCAAACAATTAGCACATTTAAATTAAGTTATCTTAATCTCGTAACCAAACAAACTAACTTTCGTTTGTCAGATATTTGAAAATCTTGATGTACTATGATAAATCGAAAATAACAACTAATTACTTAGTTATTTTGTTCAAAAATTACATTTCTTAAATTTGTAGTTAGGATATCATACAATAACTGACGTAACAGGGCAATTCTGAAGTCAGATTCGGAAACCACCTAATGTAAATCAGAAATGATATCTCTGGTAGTGATCGATGTTAACCAGTATAATTGTATAAGCCCAGTGACCTGTCTATTTCTATAAATTATAAATGTCTAGGAGAAAATAAAAGTATTATTGAATTGCACCTTTAAACTTGAATTTTAGAAACAATTGTAACGTTAGGTAGAAGAAAAAGGAAAAGGGCAAAAAAGAAAATATAGTAAAGATAAAGAAAAATTTAAAGGTGAGATAATTGTATGTATCAGTAATATAATTTTTAGATTAACTTCGTCCACTACAGATAACTTCAAATTACTGAGGAAAAATTATTGTTGCTGTCACTCTCTCGCCGGGAATCGAACCCGGGCCAATGGTTTTATGCATCAATATTAAACCACTAAGCTACGAAGAGGTGACAAAAAAAATCAAAAGGAAGATTAGCAAGAGGGTATGTAATGCAGGAATATTTGAAGGGATAGCAACATTTAGAATTTAAATTTGCAATGGGAATAAATACCGATTGAAAATTAATGAAATTCGAGTCACGTTTTGAAAGAGAATAAAACAATGAACCGGTGCTGAAAGTTAATAAGATCAAAGAGCAAAGGGATTGGTGGCCTTATTAATCAGACTCTTGAAAAAAAGTAATAGAACAAGAAGGGATCAAGGTACAATATGATTCAAATGTAATATAAAGGTATTAAAAGAATTTCTTTTTTACGTTTTTGCACTGCTGTGCCACTTCTTTCGTTCGAAATAAAACTCGAACTGTATTTTTATGTTTATTAATAAAACAACTTCACTAAAACTAGTTAATAATTAAAATTAATAATAATGATAATGCTTATGTTTATGTTGATCGAATATTCGTGATTTTTTATGTGATTTGATGATAAATTGATTACGTTGATGGATCGTTATGACTGTTCAAAGTGCAATGTTATTTTCCATATTTCCATATTTAAAGTTTCTTGTTTCCCTACTACTATTTTCCCTCCAAGGGGGTGGTAACGGTACCTGCTTGGGTATCACAGAAGTATACGTCTCAAGGCTATTTGTTAATATATGAATATTAATCAAGGGTGAATATTGAAACGGTTATTTATGGTATTTACAACCCAAGCAGACCATGGGCTAGGGTAATAAACCGCTGTATCCAAAACAGTCAAATTACAATGAGTTCAACAGAATTATTGGGGTTTTTTATTTTTGTGATTTGTTTTAAAGGTATAGGTAGTAGGTTGTCACTGAGGATGATAGGTTTTTAGGTAATTAAAGTTAATCTAAAGGGTCATATTTAGTTTTTTAGCTGTAAAAGAAGAAATAAAATTTTTGTTTAGTGAATAGATGTTGTGATAATGTTATTCATGGTAAATTAGAAAGAGGAGACTGTGGTAAATATTAATTAAAAATTAAAAGGAATACTCACCCCTAATTACCACAAATTATTTTATATGAGCGGACACGTGTTTCGCCCACTTCATACGTGGGCATTATCAACGCGAGACTCGTAATGATAACTGATAACTGATAATGCCCACGTATGAAGTGGGCGAAACACGTGTCCGCTCAAATAAAATTATTTGTGGTAATTAGGGGTGAGTATTCCTTTTANTATATAAATTATAAAGTAACCTTTCTGCATTTTTGTGCTGCAAATTCCTTTATTTGGTCATCGCACTGTAAGTCCTTTGTTAAATCGCAATTTATGAAAAGAACTGTTAAATGATTTAGTAGATAGTTCAACATTGTTGTCCTGTATTTGTATTCTATATACGACATCCTGGAGAAAGAGCGCTCCGCTTCACAGCTAGTGATCGGCAACGTTAACAAAATCTTTAAGATGGTATAGCAGTTTGGGAAAACATCAACAAATTTCTTTTCATAAATTACCCAAAAAAATTCACCGCAAGAGGTGTAAGACTCTGTCTTAGACTGCAGTAAGTAAAATTTTAACTGAATGCACATTCACTAAATGTAACTAACAAAATTGCGTCGGGCGATAAGCAGAGGGAAGTCCCCAGTAATAGACAATACACGGAATACACCGACCGAAAACAAGCGACGGGGAATTCCCCATTCCGTTTGATAGATGCGCACACGGGTTGATTGATAGCAGTGTTGTCAATCTTTGATCGCATTTTTTTTAATTCTAGATGATTTTTATTATTGACAATATCGTCTATTGTTTTCAGTTCAGGTTGGGGGCCCTCTGTATTCACGGGGCCCTGGGCTACAGCCCAAAAAGCCTTTAAGTAGATCCGCCCCTGTTATTTTTTCAGTTTTAGGTTTCTGTTGTACCTAATTTTTTGTTTAATAAATTTTAGTGTACTAGCCTATAGGCTAGGTGTTACTAGGATTTTTTCGATTAGAAGCAATCAGAAAGGGGTTCTAATCGAAAAAATCTTAACCTACTTGGAGAAGATAGTACAAAGGATAGGCATTACTATAAAAAATATATGTTCACGGAATTCAATACCTTCATCAAAAAGAGCGTATCATGCAAAAATATACAAAGTTACTTATTATTAGCAATAGAACAATTATATACTAAATTTATAATTTTGTATAAAAAAATTATGGTTTTATATATATACGCACACTTTATTCATTATTTGGTGCATAATATTAAAAAGTACTAATCAATCGCCTAGGTCTTAAGTATTTAATTCTAAAACTGTGTATTCCTATATACTTTTTCAGTTTTCCTGATCCCAAATAGAACAAATATATCAATAAATACATATGGGCTGCAATTAAAATGTATTTTCAATTTTTAGAAAATAATTATAATATGCCCAGTAGGTAGTAATTCTAAAAAATTGGTAATTACCTTTTCTATCACTATTTCACAAGTATAACCTCAAACCTATAGGAAGACGTGGAAAAAGCCACACAAATGACAAGTACAACGATGTTTAAAAGAAAAACCAATTTTATAACAAAATTCAAATGCAGTTGAAATAAACCCCATCTACTGTAATATTTAATGGAAATGTCACTCGCAAATCCCAAGCATGAGTGTATGTCATAGACATTTCTAGATTAGTGCATAGACAAACTTTAGTGCATGTATTGCAATATACATTAGAGATATACAGGTCTGACGCTGGAAGTTGGCGGAAATTTTAAAATGGTCAGGATGCGCAGTGGCAAAAGTAGGCAGTTTTAGGGATAACAATTACAGCCCTCTTTCTTCAGTATTCTTATCAGGAGCGTAGATTAAATATTTAAAAACAAGGATCAGTTTACAAAATTAAATTTAAAAAATTAAGTTATTCGGTTGGTTTTCAAGTTTATGTAAAAAAGAAATTGGCGCAATAATTTAGTTTAATGTGATTTATTTAAATGCTATGTTAGATAATGAGCAAATAATGATGTTGATGTCGGTGACAGTGATAGTGATGAGGCCAGTGAATATGAAAATCAACTACAAAACAAACAAAGACTATATTATTTCCTTGTACGCTACTGTCCTATCTGTATTAATACAATAGTTTACGCCTACTGAAAGCTTATTTGTATACCGGTTCAGAGTGATCTACCCAGTTAGGCCATAAATGGGCAATTGCCTGCGTGACCGCTCTCCAGCTTGCTTCGTCCGACCTATACATTACTTACAACAGTATATCTATGGTACCATTTGAATAAATTAATATTTAATTTCTTCCTGCACCCAAAACAAATTTTCCTTTTTTTTTACAGAACTAATGGACATACAGTGATACTTACATATTTAGAACCCGCAAACGGCGCATAATTTATGATTAAAGTTTAAATTAGAGAATTATGTATATCGGGTGTCCGATTCACACAACTATCATATGCATATGATTATTATGTTATTTACGGCTGCGATCTCCATGTTGTTGTAGTTGGGACGTTCAAAATTGGTCCACAATAACGCTCTCGCATTTTCTTCTTTCAACTTACTAACTAGACTAGAGTCATAGATAACTAGAGTGGTAACCATCGACGTTTACTAATGAACATGCCTTAGCGGTCAGAATTGTGGTACAATAAAAGAAAGAGATGGAATGAAGTTTCGGACAATATCCATCTCTCTCACGATAGTGCGGAAGCGTGTAATGAAAGAGATAGCACTAGTCCGAAACCATACGCCATCTCCCTCACTTTTCGAGCCAAGAAATTATTACAATACATACGGCTAAGGCACGTCCATTAATATATGTCTATGGTATATCTTGTATATCTATTATATATGATCATGACATTATCTATGATCATGAGCAATTATGGCTGTAATGGCTGAGCGGCCTAAGCGGTTAAGCGCTAGTTAGCAATAGAGAATACATTTATGAATACAAGATTAAAAAAAATATACTCATCAGTAATACCAGAATTGTGAAAATGAGAATTATGACTAGAAAAAAGTAGCTACTACTCAATTATCCTTTTGTCAAGAAAATGTGCCTTTCAATGTTGTGATATCGCGTTAAGAAAAAACTGCCAAAATGTTTAAAAAAAACAAAAAAGATAAAGCTAAACTGGAACACAAGCTTTATCTGGTACTTATTAGTATATATTCATATGATTATACATACCTTTTTTATAAAATGCATTGTAGGCAAGAGAGACACCAGAGCTTGTGTTTGATATTTCTGAATGTGATTTAAAGGCAGTTCCTCCAGGCATCTACTCATTGTGCAAAGTATTTCTTAAAGAAAAATTAGAATTACAAAAAAATTCTTTAACATCTTTGAATGGAGGTGGTAATTTAAGTGATTTATGTACACTAAAGGTATTAAACGTTAGTTATAATGCATTAACATTTCTTCCAAATGAAATTGATCAACTAACTAATCTTCAGGTATGTTATTTAAATTTTTTATAGGTACCTAAGTATTCAATATTAAAAACAATCATTTAAATCACAGGAATTATATGTCAATGACAATCACTTAAAACAACTACCTTCTACAATTTGTCATTTAAAGTATCTTCAAATTTTTGATGTTTCAACCAACAAACTAAAAAACTTACCAGAAAATTTGGGTAGTATGGTCAGTCTGCAAGAAATTAACTTAAAAAATAATCCAAAATTACATGAACTACCTAAAAGTATCAGCTGTTTACATAACATGCAATGTATACAAATTGACATTACCGGCTTTACCTATCCACCTGAGGAAATTGTGAAAAATGGAACTTCATCTATTATGAAATTTATTTGTGAAGGTATATACATAGAAGTCATCCCAAACAAGAATCTTTCTTTTGAAGGCAGGGTTGAACAGGTTTAAATTATATTTTAATTGGGTGATTTTTTTTTAAATCAGTGATTTTAATTATCAGCTAGTAATCAATAAAAAAGCAAAACAATTTAGGTATCGTTAACAAATACAAAAGAGAAGGAAAACACCTCAGCTGATGCTGAGAAAGCCACACTGCAGAGTAACATAATAAAACAGATACATGGTGATGATCACCAATAATGAGCAAAATTTTCGTGAAAATAGAATCTGGCATTGCTTGAAAGTGACTTCAAACATTCAGTACTAATGTTTTTATGAATATTTTACTTTACAACACATAATTATAACTAATTATTTCACAACATGTGTAGAACAGCTGCATAAATATGCATGTTACTAGTACTCTGCTTCTTCAAGTGCTCACTGTAGGCAGCATCAATTGAAGACTGAATCGGGTGTGCTTCCCCTCCTTATTTCCTGTAATGCATATGAATACAGTCCTATACCTAAGTGAGTTGGATTATCAAAATAAAATGTTAAATGTCAAAACTATTCCTTAAAACCTCAGAAACAGTATTCTTTCTTGTTTAACATTCTGTTATCCGTTACCATTCGTAAGCGTGATGAATAATTGAATAACGAAAGGTTGAAAACAATTGTTACTGACGTATGGATTTTTCTATTAAAAAACAAACAATTGCTTTTGAATGTAGGTCTCCAAACTGAATGTAAAAATTTAAATTATCAAAATAAAATATTCTACATATGCCAAAATCAGTAACACATGTAAAAAGTCATTCTGTGTTAAAGTTAACACTTTTGCCCCTAGGAAAGAAAGATTCTTAATTGGTACATTCTGTATAATAGGTGTATTCGTTTGTCTTTATTAGTACGCTTGAAAGATACGCATGGGTGAATCGTTAAAAGCAAACAAACACACCTAATATTTTTTTTTCACAAAACGATTAATTTCGCATAATTTATAGATATGGGTCAAGTGTATGTATCACAGAATGAACCTACTGAATTAGAGAGAAGCAATTCTAATAAAAGCATTCCAAGGAGTCTTAGTAATAGCATAAAGGTATTGTTTTATTCATGTTTTTATCAATTTTAAAAACGAGAAAATAAGCTAAAAGAGACTCACTCTATTTACCACTAAAATTTTGCACTATGGACAAGTATCATATCTAATGTGACATTATCAGCTCAAGGCGTGTGAGCAAAACAGTGTTTAGTGTTAATAAAGGGTGAGACTCATAGTTTATTTATTCCTTTAGAACGGTCTAGTTTTTATTTGTTATTGAAGAGATGGTACAGAAAAAGTATTAAATATTTTTATAGAATATATATACACAAATGTACTTTAAACAGAACAATCACAATTATGCACTAAAAAATTATAGCGCTTTTCAAGTTAACTAATTACATCTGCAATAATTAAAAACAAAAGTAACAAACATTTTTTTATCTTATCTGACAAAAAACACGTTTGTTGTAACACGATGATAGGATCTCGCATCTAAAGCATGTGCCTGGAGTTAGATTAATCATTGCGGCTGAAGATGTTTCTATTTTACATTCTGCAGTTTTCATTTTTTCAATTAAATTTTAAAACGAAGAAGTGCGGCAATTAATTGAATTCCGGCAACGGGGATACGCAAGTTCAAGTTAATATACCAGCAGCCGGATCGTTCTCATACAACTTAAAATCCCAATAGTTTACATCATTACTTAAGATTAGAGATCGCTGAGAGCAATATGGTAAAAGTCTCAGTCAGTATACTTACTTTCGATTGCATTAAAATTTTGATGTGTTATGCAGTTCACTATTTCTTTTTTGTTTTCGTTGAAGAGAAGGACACTTCAAAAACGTAGTAGCGTCTGAGGGGGATTTACCAACTAACACATTTCTATAAATACATCAGGTCATTATAGGAAAAAAAAACAACTTTTGGATGTTTCGTTCCCACCAGCCAGTAATGCTGGTGGGCGGGCAGTCCCTCCGGACTACGCCGGAAGGTAGGGTGGAAGGCCTTCTTCAGCCTGCTTTCAGGAATCGTGGGAATGGGTGGGTGGTGGTTCGGGTGAGAAAGATAAGACAGACGAAATGAAGACAGAAGAGAATGAAAGATTATCTGTGTAATATTACTGCCTCAGCATTTGCCTAGGTGATCCAAGGAAACCACAGAAAAACTTAGTTTAACCAAATCTAACCTGACCCAACTCCAATTTCTCAAAGAAAGTACACAACTACTACAACACTCACGTCGTTCATGTTTTCATTACCTACCGCAACCTGATGATCCTAACCGGCCAAATAAAATCATTAAGTACGGTTACGTTAGAATCATCAGGTTACATTCTTTTGTTTACAGCAGTGTTCATTCTCTAAAAAGTTAGTTCACAATAGCAAAATTTCAAGGATATCTGAGATGCGTATACTGATCGCATTGCTGTCAGTCCGCTTTAACTTCACATAAACAAGCAAACTGGCGGGATTTTAAGTTACATTTGAACAGTAGTGGATAGGTATCTCCGAAGGTCCTTTCGATAACTAAAAACGTGTTATGTGCACGGTATAAAAACGTTTGGGCGTTTCATTCATTCCCACCAATTACTAATGTTGGTGGCCGGGTAGACCCTCCGGACTACACTGAACTGTAAGGCGGGTAGGCCCTCTGTGGCATCGTTTTAGGAATCGTGGGAATGAGCGATTGGAGTGAGAAAGATGAGACGGACGAAATGAAGACAGAAATGAGAAATTAGGTTACCCCAGCATTTACCTAAGTGATCCAAAGAAACCACACAAAAACTTCATCCAGGGCGGACGGACCCGAAATCCTAATGCTAAGCAATAGTCTAAACCTCTGCTATGACGCTCGGTCGTGCCCGGTATATGGGACGCATGCTTTTATCACATCATGTATCTCGGCACCATAACTAAAATGCGGAAATGTTATTGGTTCAGTAGCATTCCCTCATTGGTTTAACAAATATCCCTAGGATCGCAAAATTACGGCCACAAAGTGAATTTACCATGTAGTTACCATGTATTTGATAAAATTTTATGTATTTCGTTAACATCCTGAGTATATTCGTCAAACCAGCGAGGGATTATTATTTGTTTTCAGGCTCTCTGACCGTTGTGTTTAGAAATTGTTTCTCCGACGTTTCGCCTACAACTGCGGCAAGCATTTTTAAGGGGGCACGTTGCCCTTCTCGGTCTTAGTTGCCTTGAATGCTGTGTAGTGCTAATTCCAGTTGCAACAGTTTCCAAAGACATCGACCGGAAAGCCCGAAAACAAATAATAATAGTATTGAAGATGCCAGCCATGAAAGCCTACGTTTATTGGTCAGCGAAAGGATGCTTTTAAACCAATAAGAGATCCGCATTTTAGCTATGGTACCGAAATGTATGACAGAATGGAAACATATCTGCTGTTACTACAATTAGAACTAGTTTTGAAGTTATTTTTGCACATAATAGGTAGCATATGTAGACCATTTCCAATATTAGTCTGCGTGTATATTTTACCGTGTATCATCTACAGTGCACGGTACGCAGTCGATGAAACCTATCCACAACTCTCGTTGATTATACATTCATTATTAGTTTTCTATTATTAGTAAAATGCGGAAGAAGATCTGTTTTCATCTACTGTTTTGTAGTTTAGGTCATATTCTTGTTATCGCACTTCCTGCTATAACAATTAAATCGACATACTTATTGTATATTTGAATATTTATAAAATATATATGACGGCCCACATTCAATTATTTTATTACCATTTCAATATTTAAATTTCCTTCACTAACTTGCTAACTCCTCTCGTGCAAACCATCAAGATCTTTTTTTTTATTTACTTCTACATTCCATTTTTTCTTCTTTTTGTAGGCCAGCATACTGGACTATGAAAACAATAAGGCATGTTGTGCAATTATTTGTCTGCCTTTTAGTGGTTAAGTATTTTTGTTTTGGTCACCTTTTGAGTTAACATAGCTTTATTTACATTTATATCTAACATTGTTTTCACAAGAACTTAATTCTTCATATAAAATAGGTCGTTGTATTTATAAAGAATTTTAATTGTTATTTAGAGGAAAAAAATGGTGGAATTCTTGGAGATAGAAAAGCACAGGAGTATATTACAAAGGCAAGAATATGATTTGGCACAATCAGTTAAAGTTGAAAAAGAAAGGGTAAGCAAATTGAAATTGTCCTAATGACTCTTCCTAACTATTTAAAATTTTAGTTACTTTCTGATATAGCAGAACAACAAAATGAACTTGACAATAAACTTCTCAAACTCCAACAAGAACGGGAAAAGGAAAGATTCAGGCTTATAGAACAACTTCAAGAAGGTTACTAATTACTATAACTCGGATTATATGAACTTAACAATAGGAAGTATATGCATGCAAATATACTAAAATAATATTTAAAATATGCATTATGGTAAACATCTGTGTGCGTTGTCTCATACGTTTAGTCCAGCTTGCCATCCTACGCTCAGCGCAACTTTTGCTTTAGTTTTAAAGGCTTGTATGTTTTGCTTTGTAGTGGTAAGTGTAACTTTTACCGCTAGTTGATCAGATAGACCACCACCATGACCTCAAACCCTTTGATGTAAGATGGGCATGACAGATTGACGCCCAAAGGTAACCAATGATGCTCGTTCCTTGGGATCCTATTTCGTCTTCCGATCTACCATTTAGCGTTATCAATCCTATATCTTCGAATGTTTTTGCTTGCTGCACTCCTTTCTTGTTAATTACCCTGTTCTGCGCTTTCTTATCCTCGGAAGTGCTATGCATAGCCACTTGGTTCAAGAGCCCAATTCTGGCATTAAAGTCTCCCCCGGCTATTAAGGGAACATTATTTTTCTTATTAGTTCGAAAAGATGGGCCCTCTAGCATTGATAGTCTTTCCTCATGCTGGTGATTCGTAATGTACACACTAATTATTATAAACCCGACATTATTGATAATGTATGAACAGCTGATCCACATTTCACATTTCTCCATGACTTTTACCCCATTGAATGCATCTTGGTTAAATAGAACCCCCAGTCCATCACTAGCTCTTCCCTTATCTTTCTCCTTGGTTGCCTCGTAGTCTATGCATTTCATATGTTTTAATGATTTTGGGAGGTTATTGTATTTGTATGCCAAGTTTATACTTATAGCAGTTAGTTAAGTGTATGTTTTGATCTGTTTCCAATATATTGTATAGATTTCCTAATCCGTGCATATTTGAATATATTATACTTGTTCTCTCTCCTGTCCTTTCTAGGCCTTCTTTACAATTTTGATTGTTTTCTTTATGTGTTGTCTTTGTTTTCTTAATGTTAAAGGAGTATCGGTTTTTATTAGTTTTATTGATGACGAAAAGAATAATTTGGTGTGGAGCTTCCTTCTGTATCCTGGTGTAGTGGTATTTGTTGAACACACTTGATTTCCATCTTATTCATATTCTTGTAGCTGTCGCTAGTCAATTTCACGTATATTAGGTTGAGTTTGGTATGTCCCTCCACGACTATGGTCCATCTTTTTCAATTTATTACTTTTTTCATCCCAATTCCATGTTTCGTTATCAATATACAGTTTATTGTATAATATGTAAACTTTTATTCCATTCTTCTTTTTTCTTCTGCTACCTCTCGGATATATTTTTGTATTTTGTTTTCTTCTTTTGCATAATCTACGTTTATATATATGCTTTGGCCTCATAAAGAGCTCGTCATTTTTAATGTTTCTTTCTTTTCATTCCAGTTATTTATTTTAATTTTAAGAGTAGTCGGACCCCTTCCCGTTCTAATTTTATGGAATTCTTCCACTTTGCTGTTTACCTGGAGCTTTTCTTTAAGGAAGCTCTCCACCACGTAATGTAAATTGTCATGATCATTGAATTATAGTCCATGGATTGGCACATTGTTTTTCCTATCTCTGCTATCTTTAATTTCTTCTTTCTTCTCTAGTTCTTTAATTCTTTGCCTTAATTAGTCCTTTTTTATCGTCCAAGCTATTTCCATTTCGGCTATCCAACTTTTAGTTTCATTAATGTAGAGAGTCGGTTCAGTTTTACTAGAATTTGATTTAGCTGGTTGTCACATTTTTTCATATCTGATTTTTCACTGATTGCCTTATTACGGCTTTCTATACAGTCGCTTTCGTTCTTATACAGCATTGATATTATTTTTCTGTTTCCTGTGTTTTCTTTTCCCTTAAGTATAGTTTTGGTGGCCTACCCCTAGTGCCCATTGATGTTATGTACGCGCCTTCAACCTACATCCGTTTATATTTTGAAAATAATGTTGTCAGTAGCAAATAGTGCAGGGGTTTTTGTTAATAATTTTAAATTTATTTCTGCACACAATCGACTTTTTGAGCATTACTGATTGTTCAGATATAATTTTTGGCGATTAATACGTTTTACCTAATAAGAACAACGAACAAACGTTGAAAAATATTACGTCTGAAACTTTAAATAAGATCAGCAAAACAATTTCTATTTGAAAATGTACCAGGTGTAAATGATGCATTTGCATATAATCCTACCTCTACTAATTACTATTAAAAATCAGTAAGAGAAGATTTCGGCATTTAATTATCGTAAATAAAAATATTTATTTAAACCATTAACTGAAAAAATAACTCACACTAGCGATGCGTTTTACAGTATTTATTAACATCTGCCTTTGGAAAAAATGAACTATTACCACCAATTATTATTTTAGATCAATTAAAACTAAATTCTGCTAATTTGTCTTACAATTGATCAACTTTTGTTTCTGGTTTTGAATCTTTAATGACGAATCATTTAATATTTGTTTTTTTTTTTTTTCGTTTTTTAGTTGAAGATAAAGCAAATGTTGCTGTTAACCAATTGTTATTGTTAAATAGACAACCATTAACAAAATTATTAGAACAAGAAAAATTGGAAGAACAGCGACTTATGGAAGTCGCAGGAAAACAATATGACAACTTGGAGAAAATTAAGATACTTGCAGATATGGAAGAGGTACTCTACCAAGAAAGTGAAAAGTTCAAGAAATTCGGAGAGTTTCGCATTCAGATGGCCAAAAATGTATTAAACGAGTAAGACCCCGAACTTATCTATGATGAACTAAATAACTTTTTTACCTTAATTAAATACGAAAGCTCCCTTAACTGATATATTTCGCAGTAATTAGTATAACGGCAAGTGTCATATTATTTATTGTTATTCAATTTGGGCGACTATGGCTGCTTAATTTAAATCCATTTCTCATGCCCTGCTGCCCTGAAGTCACCAGAATGCATTAACAACTAAAAGTATGCCAAATTGATTCGTTTACCAAAAGGCGCCAAAGGTACAAAGAAAAATTAGTTTCTCTTTGATTACTGAAGAACACTTAGTATGAAAGTGTCTTTCCAGAAAAAACTTATTGGAATAATAATGAAATAAAAGATCTTTCGCTGAATTTTTGTATCTCACATCTTTGTAACAGCTCAAACGCCAAATTTTCTTTATTATCCAAAGTTAATTGCACTCTTAAAAGTACACTTGTTTCTTAAAGCCAAGCTTTGAATAGCAAAATTATCAACTAACCAGAAAAAAAATTAAATAATGTAATTAATTAATATTTCATAATTTTCAATTGAAAATTTAAAACTAAGACGCTTTCCGATTGTATCCGAACTGCTGTGTCGATATTCAATTTTGGCAACTTATTTTTCTTGTTTTTGTGTTTATAGAAGATCCGTAAAGCATAAAGATGTTTATGAAAAACTAAAATTAAAAATTACCTTTTCAAATTGTCGAAAAATGCCGTAATGCCCTTGCTTAGTACCTGCATAAAATTGGCAAGTCCATTTTACTTATTTCATGGTTTAGCAATAGGCATTTATGCGTATTCAACGTAATAACATATTTATTATCATTGTTGATTGATTTTTTACAGATTTTTAATTTACTTTTTACCCAAATGGAGAAGTTTTATGATGTTGTTAATATTATATTCAACGTAATGGTATTAAAATATAGATCAAAACTAATAAATCACCGAAAGAATTTTTGAAATCTATCAATAAATGACTTCGAAATAGATTATTGAAGTTTACGTATTTTAGTACGGAACGTCTGCGGTTTCTGATTCGCTTATGACGTCATTCGACCTATTCGATATCACCGCACCACGAATCATTCAAGTATTAGTTTCAGAGTCGCGCTAGGGCTCTTGCTTCGTTCGTGTTTATTTAATTTTTAACTGTTGTGCTTTAACACATAGGAACAATACAATATTTGTAACTATGTTTTTTAACTTCTGCCATCGGGTAATAAACAAAATACGAATCGAACGGCGTAAGCTCCTATACAACAATACATTCGTACGTACTCGGCGAATGCGTGCGGCGTCGTTTAGGTCAAATGACGTCACACGATGGAGCGCCGCGTGTAACAAAATTATTCTTGCAAGCACAACTTTAAAGTCCCATGACTCATTTCTTGAGATATTTTATCGATTCTTTCACGTGTTTGTTTTAAATTTTTATAGTTTATCCATTAAAAAAAATGGAAAGTTCTTCATTTTATTTCCGTTTTTTAATTTGCTTTTTACTCGGTTCGCTGTTGTCAATTAAAAGGTTTTTTATTTTAATTTTTTTATTGGTATAAAATTTATTGTCATTTCACCGTAAATGAAATTTCAGCCGGACTATCATAAACAAGTTTATTTGTTTATGTATTTCTCTTCCGGTGTTTTAAGAACTCCCTAATATTTGATGCTTTTCTATTTTGTTGAAAGTATTGTAATGAACTCACTCATTGTTAATAAAAATTCTTTAATATGCACAAATTTTTACCTATATGTTCGCGTATGTCAAATCCAAAAGCAATATATCTTCATTTAGAATTTCTTGTTTTTATCAATTTACAATCAAACTTATTTTAGTGAAATGGAATTAGACAAACATTTGGTCGATGTATTGAGTAATCAAGATTTACAAAAAACTGAACTAATTTCTAAATTAGAAGAAGATACTTTACTTCAAAAGGCAGCTGTCAGTACTCTTTTAGAAAGATCCGATGCTCGAAGCTGGGCTTTAAGGCAGGAAATGAGACTAGTAGAGGGACAGTTGGCTGCTTTAACTGCTATAGAATTAGATAGGAAACGACTGAAGATGGATGAACATTTGGTAGGAAACTGACAGTAATAAAAATTACCCATCTTATTTTGACTTATTTTTCAGTATGATTTAGCGGAAAAACGTGAAAATTTATCTTATGTATTGTTGAAGTTATATGAAGAACAAAACCAACGGAGAGCTGAACTTTTGTCAGCTTTAAATAATGTGGAGGAGTTTAGCAACACTTCCGAAAATTTTTGGCTACAACAGTACCAGCGTCTATTAGAAAGGTTTATACAATGACTTCGTTCTTATTACATTTAAGGTATACTTACTATAAAATTTATTTTACAGAATGCCCAATAACTTGTCTGAAACTCAGAAAAATGTAAACCAAAGACTTGCTCAAAGACTTCTCTTAGCAGGAGTTATTCAGTACCTACCGATGCTTTGTAAGATCATTCAAGATGAAGGTAAACATGCAATTAAAATTATGTGTGATGTAAAAATTGATCTTAATCCAAATCACTTTAGTAAGTAAAGTCAACTGCGGAACAGTTATTTTTTTGGGATTGGAAATGAGAAATATTTCCTTATTGTCTCGGAAAAAAATTCAATAAATAATTTTAAAGTCTTGCCTGACAATTTGTTAACTCCAATTGGATACCTCGAAAAGATTTTATACCCAGCTATACTGATATTTTCTGATCAAAGTGTTCGCTGGCGCATGTATTCTAAGTAAAAAATTATTATTATATATGTACAGACATTATACAATGATCGTTTTCGCTGTCCTCATCACTCACCTAGGAATAATAGATACGCATGCGCAGAGACAATTTTTATCTGAACTTTTTTTTTTTCAACTTGTGTTATTAATTAGGAAATATGTTAAAAGTAGACTTCTTTCATAACTTCGTGTCAAAACGCCTGTAGGTAAAACTGCTTGAAAAACTGGAAGATCATTGTAGAACGTTTAAATCCAATCTCAAACATTCTCACAAACCCTTTAGACAAAAAGAATATTGTTAGAGCAGCTAATCCAGTGCCCGCGATTGTTTGAATGTTTAATAATTATTTTTTATTTATAAATGCATTTTTTTGCGCGCGCGTGTGTATAAAACATTAGTTGGAAAATTAAAGCCCCCCCCCAATATACAATACTTAGCTGGGGCCCTGTCTGGCACCTGCATCATTTAGAAACATGTGATGAGAGCAGCGAACACGATTATATATTTTTTTGAACATTCGTAATTCATATCGGTTATTCCATACGTACCTTCACACCACTGACTATATCAGTGCATCAGAGTATATCAGTAAACAATTGTGATTATATTTTGAATTCACGAAGCTGTATTAAGACAAATTCTAAACTAAGCTTATTCAGTTTAGCAATATTATAGTTGCTTTTATTTTTGTCTCATAAAGTTACACAAAATATTATACATGAAAGCATAGTAATCTTTATTGAAACATTTTCAAAAGTTAACAAACAAATTTATCATCGACTGTACTTTAAAAACTAATTTTTTTGTGACTTGCTATTAGCTTCTTCGTCTCTGCAATTCGCTAACTAAATTAGGCTGAAATGTATTTTATTTTCGGTTTTATAGACATGTTAAGAAGGGTAACCGAAAAGGATATTATTGAAGCGGGTGTGGTAAATCCGAATCACTGTTTAAAAATTTATGAAGAACTGAGGTTATATGTAGACAGCTATCTATGTGGTAGAAGTACCGAACCATCTGCACCCTCGGCTGAAGAAGCTGCCGGGCCCAGTGCTCCACCCCTTAACATTTTCCCCGAAACCGGTTTAGGCGAGTGCATAGTCTGCATGGAATTTAAGGTATTAATAACATTTTAAAGTTTTTAAAAATTTAATAAGTAATTTTTTGTAGTGTGAAACAATTTTTGTACCATGTGGACATTACTGCTGTTGCACAAATTGTTCTAATGTGATATCGGCTTGTCCTCTTTGTAGAACAAGCATAAAGCATAAAGTTTACAATATTAATTAACACGAAGCCCCTTTTTATAATCTACTTCTATACACAATACAATATAAAAATTGTTTGAAATATTCTTTAAAGACATTTTTTGATCTTTTAAGTGTTGGTGAGGTTTCCACTTGCTGAAGTATTGACTATGGAATTTTTAATTAATTCACATATAATCACTTCTTCATTAAAGCTATTATGAATTGTAAATAATATTTATTAAGAAAACTACTGTTTTGTAGTAGGTGCTTATTCCATTATTTAAGTGTGCAAATATTGAATAAATTTTTTGTTATATATGCGTGTTTCATTGTAGTGGATAAATCTACAAAAAACTTAACTATCAAACTTTTTAACTATTTTGGACATAATTTTTGTACATTGACGCATTTTCCCTGGTTAATTTTGTCATTAAGTAATAAATGGATCACTGAAACTCAATAACCTTCTCTTCCTCTATTTCTTATAAATCCAAATTGGTCTTCCTCTAATAGTTTTTCTGCCATTTTCTCCATACCTTGTACGGTTCTAGTTAAGATTTTTGACACATGTGAAGTGAGGGTAATTGTTCTAAATTTCTATCTGCGTCTCTCTTTTTTATTATGTCTACTACCACGTTCCATTTATAGTCCTCCGGGACTTTCCCCGTTTTATATGTCTAACTAGCTTAAACATACAATCTCTAACGTCTTGTCCTGCGTGTCTTAAAATTTCCGCGTGTATCCCATCTTATTATGCCTTATTATTCTATATCTTTTTAGTGCTAAATCAAACTCTTCTCTCATTCATTGTAAATAATAAATTTGGCAAATCCCTTCTTAAACCACATATTCACTACTTTTACCACAATTAAGTTACATACTTACTATATTAAAAGGCAAATCAAATTGAACTTTGTCCTAACACCAAAATGTATATTACATTTAGAAATCTTTCCATATATTATTCGCCTAACTAGACTAAATAATTTGGGTAATAATTTTTACAGGAATCTATCAATAATTACCTTTTCTTACTATATAAATACGCAATATATACAGGATGTTAAAAAACTATTGCATTTGCTGCATACATATAATCGGAAAAGGCACGAAATGTTAAGGAAATAATACTGTTTTGAAAATTTGCTATCTAATGCATTGTTAGTATATTATCGAGTTAGTTAATCATCGCTTGAGTATAGTGAGGGTGCTGACTTGTTATTTTGATTAATTTTTGTAGCTTAATAACACTATAATAATGCATTTATTAATCGCAAAACTGTACTGATAACTTTCTTCTTGGAATTTTGCTCTTTCTAATTATGTATACCAAATAGAAGTTTCTTTAATATATTAAACTAAATCAAAGGTTTTATCTTTTTAATGGCAGTAATGTTCGGGGTAATGCATATGTATTTATTAATTTTGTTCAATAATATATAATTACCTTTTTTGCACAATGAATGAAAGGTATGCAGTTGGTTTTCATACTACCAAGATCTAATGGAACAAGAAATAAAAATCTATTCAGATTATACAGACATTACTGCAAATGTAATCATAATTTCTGTTGTGTGATTAAAATATGTTAATACTGAGACAAACAGTAATGTATATCAAGAATTAATAATTTTCAGCTAAGTATTAAAAAATAATAAAACAACCAAATTACTTTTAAATATTCTCCTTAATATATCATTGACTCATCCAGCCTTTTCGAGAATAACTAGTGTTTTAAAAGTTTCAATTGACCAAAACATATTAATGGAGTCAATGACTATAATAATAAAACCAACTGTAAATTAAACATGTTTAATTTTTTAATCATAAATACAACAACTTATTTATTCCTATGATACATCTTCTTGCTCCTGTTCTTCATCTTCCTCAACTTCCATAGATTCTTCATCTCCTCCCTTTTGTTTGCTACCTTTTTTATTTTTTACTTGTGACTTGTATTCTAAAAATGATTAAATAATAATAATGACTATTGAATATATATACAAAAATAATACTGCTACAGAAACATACCATCCAATGAAGTCTTTACTGGGTCAACTAATTCTTCAAATTCCAAGTTTTCTAAAGCTTCAATAATGTCTTGACCTAACATAGTTTTTCGGTTAGATTTCTGAGCTAACTGAGAAGCATGGGATGTCACATATAAAATAAAAACAGATGCTGCTCTAGCCAGGGACGATTTTGTATCTTTAGATAAATTAATATTACTTGGTAAAACCTCTTTAATTATACGTTGAATGGGGGCAGTAGGTAGATTTAAATCTTCAATTTTCTCTGCCATTACTTTATTTGAATTTGTATATTCAATGTTGAGTTTTATATTTGGTTAACATAACACGCATCAACAGTAGTTGCATAAATAAATTTAAACAATGCAATATGTCTATGGAATGCAAGCAACGAGTATAAGCAGTTGTAATAACATTATTGTAACAATACCACAATCATAACACCCACGAAAAACCGCCAAAACTAGAATCCTAAAAAAAAAACTTGTCTATTGATGTTTTCGAGACAAAACACACCGCGCGGTGTTCTGCCGAACTTATCAGAACCATAGATATCAGAACCAATCGAATAGTTCCGAAATCCCCCGAATTAATTTTATATCAGAAACTGTCATTTACTTATATAACTATTTTGATGTATAATATGATAATATATTCCGTTCCTTTTTCTTTAAAAAAGTCCAAACTAAAGAAGATTATGATAGCATATATAAATACGTACATTCCTTTTTTAGCGCGGGAATAATAAATCAGAAATTTAAACTATTCGGTAACAATCGGAAATATTCGGGAGACATCGCCTGGTGTGTTTTCTGTCTTGAAATCAGTATATGAAAGAATCCATAGACATATTAATGGACGTGCCTTAGCCGTATGTTATTATAATATTTCTTGGCCCGAAAAGTGAGGGAGATGGCGTATAGTTTCGGGCTAATGCTATCTCTTTCATGACGCATACGCACTATCGTGAGAGAGATGGCTATTGTCCGAAACTTCATTCCATCTCTTTCTTTCGTTGTACCACAATTTTGTCCGCTAAGGCACGTCCATTAGTAGACGTCGATGAAAGAATCCAATAGTAAAGTATTTTTTTGACGGACCAGAATTACTTATCTACCCTTTGTAGATCTATTATCTATGAAGATGATTAAGAATTAAGATGCATTGACAACCATACATCTTCTAAATATTTATTTTGTGCTTTGTGTAAATGTGCTGATCAACAATATTTTTTCCGATAAAACATTGCTGTCAATTTATATTAAAGTATTTACAAGCAATTTCACGTATAAGCACAGTTACAGCTTTCTTATTGTAAAATAAGAATGCTTGTTCGCTACCTATCGCTGTGCTATTTTTTTTTTTTTAAAAATATTTTGAAAATGATAAATTTTNACCTAAAATCATAAGTACAATTCAAAACCGTCATAATATACAGGGTGTTCCATTTAAAATAACGAAATTGATGTCAACTTCCGGTATAATGGGAAGTGCTACATAGATGTCGTTATTTTAATTAAGGAGAGCATACCCAATAACGCTATTGTATAAACTTTCAAAATTTAAATCTAAGCAGTTTCCGAAATATTCTAATGGGTGGTTACCGTGAAACATCCTGCATATGTTGGACGTGAAAATCATTCCTTCATCCAGTTTTAGGGGGTTCAAAGAAATCAAAGTAAAATATCCAAATCAGTCCTAAGACTGGTTGGACACGTACCTCTACTCTTTCCTAAATAAATAAAAGGTTTTAATTTTTTTTTTGGGTTCATATTTCTGTTAACAATATTACTACCTATATGGTAATGTCAACGTGTTGTCTTTTCCTACCGTAACTTCTAGCATTGTTCGAGAATTTAGATCAGATTGGTTAGGCTAGGCTACGGTAGGAAAAAACAACATTCTCACTTTGTGAGTGTTGTGTATTTTTTTTTACAGAAATGTGAACTCCAAATGACAAAAAAATGAAAACATTATTGACTGATTAGTTTTCTTATGGGTTCGACTTGGTAGTTTTATTTACTATTTTTAACCGTCTTCCTCCAAATTTTTTACTATCGGATATAGGCATCATTGCTCAGACTGTGTAGGCTTTCACGGCTGGTCAAAGTAAATGTAGCGAAGTTTCCCGGGCTTAAAAGCCGTGATCAATTGGAATTACTTTCTGATGTTTTGTAATTTCGGTGAACATTATCAAAAGTAATGAGGTAACGGTAGAACCTCATAAAACTTGTATGATTAATGCTGTAGAAATAGGTTGCTATGCAACTAGTGTATTGCAACCATTTCAACTTCAAATCATGCAAAGGGAAGATTCTTCGAAGGATAGTTATTCGTTTAAAATAGTTAATGTAAGTAATCAATGTAGTTTTAAGTTTTATTGTTGATGTATCATTTAAAGAATTCTTCAATATTTTAAGCGCTTTTAAGTTCCACATACGAATGAGAATATGAAGATGTACTAGGTGTAGTGTTTAACAATTTATTTAAAAACTGCACATACTAATCGGGCATTGTCATTATGAGTTATCAAATGCATTCAGGATAGTAGAGAAAGTCGGAAACATGTGTCAAATTTTGATTAAATTGTGAACATCTCTAGCGTTTTCTTCTTTTGTATGTTTACTATAGAATAAGTGGGGAGTTTCTAAAAAAACATACAATTAATTCAACTTGCTACCTATTCCCATAATTCTTATTAAGGATAAGTCACGGGAGCTTTTTGATTTCTAGAATTTCCAGAAAGAACAGAGGTTTAGAGAAATACAATATTTTTTATTTCACATACACATATCTAAATAAACACTGTTCAGAATTTCTCCTGCCTTTTTCCGTTAATACTATACAAATATTCTGTTTAATCTGACGTCAATTACTTTCTTTCCCACGTTTCCCCAAGGTCTCTCAAACACATTAGGGAATTTAACATTTACATTTCTTGCAAGAAAAATGAGGATCATTAAATAAAGATCGCCTATATACAAGGTGTTTACAGCGATAACCATACAGCCGAACTTCAAGGCATTATTTCCTAAACTATTCCTAGAAAGTTTTGTCCTTTGATGACTTTTTGGGAACCTCGTACAAATGCTCAAGTTTGTTAGATTTTGTGAATCTTCGGGGTGCCTGTTTTATGCATGTAATTTGAAAATAAAAGAATTAGTGTAATTGCTAAATTAAAAATAGCCAACAAATAAAAAAGCCAAGCGTTCTTAGTTATTGTTATAATTTATATTGATATAATTAAATTCGTTTCGATAAAACTGTCCTTATGTGTTTTTCAAAGCTTGAAAAGTGTACGAAAGATGGATGCTGTAGATGTAATAGTTTTTGCAAAATCGTATTTATTCATCCCTAGGTCTGTCGTAAGCGGACTTGCAAGACATGCATCGCACGCGGGCTACACGGTCAATAGGGCGGCAAAATATACTTTATTAAAATTCAATAATTTCCAAAATTATATCTATATCTAAGTAATTTTTAAAACGCGGAACTATCGTAGGCAATTGCATTTCTTATGGTTTCGGGATATAGTGGGTCGACTTTGCGAAACCGCACGGCTAATGTGTGCCGAAATAAAATTCCAAAAGTTCCATGTGACGATGATGAAAACAAACACTATGTGGGGTCCCATAAAGAGCAAAGGTAACTGAGGAAGAGATTGCTTCGCTTTTTAGCGTGAGTGTCCACCCATCACTTCAGAGGTGAACCACCTAGTTCGATGGTTTCTCCCCCAAATACTCCCGTCTCCTGTCCCACTCAACCTTTTTCCCACTCTCAATCTTTCCATTTCCTTCTCGGGAATATACAACCTTTGGGTTGATCTTCCTACTCGAGGAGGGGTTTTAGCCGATAAAAATCCTCCCTTAAGGAGGTGTCTTTTGAAGATTTCCCCTTCCCGAGGAAAAAAAAAGAGGAAGAGATAGATGAAGTGAAGTCATTGAGAAGTACATACCTAAAGTCCGCGAAGCGGTCACGAAGTCGGGAGGAAGGAGGTGATCTATCGGTTCGTGTAATTCGGGAATCGTCATAGACTGGCATTGGGTTGACGATTGCAACCCTGTACCGAAATATCCCCTCAGTGAACGAACCACCGCATCCCCTTTCAGCGGATAGTTTCTTCCCGGAAGTCAAGGAAAGATAAAAATACGACTGTTAAACTTAATCTCCTTCAGTAGCTCTTGTCTTCTACCTAATAATTTGGTAATTGTTTATACTTCTTGTTAGTCGCTTGTTATCTTTCAGCATAAATTAATTTAGCGATAATTATGCTAATATATAATCTAAAAGGGAAAACGGGTGTTTTTTATGGTAAACCTCTCCTACGCCAAGCGACACCTTCGCAACTCCAATACACCATCAAATTTGACAACTGTTTAAACTTTTTCTTTTTATTTTTAAAATTTACATTTTTTTGGATAATTTTTAGTAACGTGCCTATTTTTACATTGTCCTTATGAAAATACAGTAACGCAATATTTTGGCATGTTTTTAAAATTAAATACCGCCTGTAAACAAAAAAACCACAATTAAAATTTTACACATTTATTACATATCCATTTGTAACATTGTACAAGTCAAGCAAAAAGAGTACGGAGTGGGGCATGGTTTTGCCTAAACAACTTTTTATTTGTTGACCGATTTTAACTCAGCAACTGTCAGTTTGTCGATAATTTTATTGCGCACACGCCTCTTGTACATCATACTTCCCTACAACCCATAATTTCGCCAATATTTCAGAAAAACTACTTTTCTACATTATTATCAAAGTATGAAGTTTTTTCCAGGGTGGTGGTCAAATAATTACACAACTTTATGTTTTTATAACGTTTCGGTTTATTCAACCATCTTCAGACTTTTGAAGTTAATATCTGTGTACAAGCAGTAGCACTTCAAAAGTCTGAAGATGGTTAAATATTTTGACCGCCACCCTGGAAAAACTACATAATTTAATAGTAACGGTTAGGAATCTAACTGAAATTATTATTAAAATAAAACAAAGAAGCGGAAATTTTTTGTTGAATATAAGGATGGGCGGCTTTTTCTGTTATCTCGCTCTTAAGTTTTTTTTCGACATATTCACTGGTCTATGTTATTAGTTTTAGACCTTCAGTTTCAGTATAAAATTAGTTCCTGTAAAAATGGTCGTGTATTCAAAACTAGGAGTTCTAAAAAAATTTGCTGAATCTATCCGTACCATTTTCTTTTAATTTACATTTTAATTCGTTGAAGTATACTATAAACTAATTTCACCCCCATAGTGTTCTGTTTATATAGGGTTCTTCAAACTGAGTGGTACATCAGACATTTTAGGGAAACTAACCTTGTAAGAGATCTGAAAATTTGGCAGTCGGGACTATCAAAGATGATCTATTTAACTAAAATAATTTCAACTGTCGGCCGCTTCCGGTTATACCGGAAATTGATTCCAACTTTGTTATTTTAAATATGGAATGGTATATTTTATCAGATGAATTGGTATGAAACTCAAAATTTTAAGGTTTAATGACCAACTAGTATGCCTACCATGAAAAGTTTCTGAGATAATTTAATTTTAATACCACAATGATTTACAGAGTTAAAATTTTTGATAGTTATAGTCTTGCCTTGTGACTAATGTTAAGTCAAAATTGAGCCTCATAATATGTACTGGGCGTTTATAAAAAAAATCCAAAGTTTAAAAGTTTCAAACACAAATAACTTTATCTACTTTAGACAAAAATGCAGATTTACTTAAAAATTTTCAAATAAAGCAATATAGAACATCCACATGGATCGAATGAGGATAAAAAGTGGATTCAAATGACAAAAAGAATATGACAGGTACTATTTGAAAAAACGAAGTTATTCGTGTTTGAAGTTTTTAAACTTTGGATTTTTTTATGAACGCCCACTATAAATTATGAGGCTCAATTTTGACTTAACATTAGTCACAAGGCAAGACTATAAGTGCCAAAAATTTCAACACTGTAAGTCATTGTTTGTGGATGTTATGATTTTTTATTTTTTATTTGGGTTGCGGTAGCGATTCTTTTTCTATAAATTAAATTATCTCAGAAACTATTCATCATAGGCTTACAAATTGGTTATCAAAGTTACCTTAAAATTTTGTGTTTCATACGAATTCGTCGGAAAAAATATACCATTCCATTTAAAATAACAGAAGAATCAACTTCCGATATAACTGGAAGCGGCCGACAGTTGAATTATTTTAATTAAAAAGGTCATCCTCGATAACTCCTACTGCCAAATGTTTAGATCTCTTACACGTTTAGTTTCCCTAAAACGTCTAATGTACCACTCAGTTTGAAGAACCCTGTATATTGTTGCAATCCTTAAATATTAAAAATTAGTTAATGAATTTGCGAAAGAAACATATTACAATACTTTTGAATACGTCCTCTTTTTTATTAGAATGAGGAAGACGAATTCCAATATGAGGAAGGTATTTCTGCTGAAAATTCAAGAGAAATACACAGTCCTGTTGCATCATATCAACAGAAGTACCCTAAAGATTTTCTTCACAATAGCTCAGGTGTTAATTTAGATGACAGTGATTCTGACGACGAAGTTCTTATAAGAGAACCTTCAGCAAATCCACGAAGATTTAACTCAAGGGTTACTATTAATACATAATATACTTATATTACATGAAAAGTTGAAAATGTATTTAGAAATACTTTTCAGTTACAAAAAGAAGAACCGCAGAAAAATGCAAATAGTGGCGGCACGTCTTTTGAAGAAAGAAACATTATTAATCTGCCCCCTAACGATCAATCGACAATTGAAGGAACGTTTACTGATTCTGACAGTGAAAGTGAAAACTTGGCCAGACTAGATAAGAAACCCATTCCTGGTCAGTATGATCCTCAAACTTACGAATACTTGGAAGTCAATTCCGAAATTAAAGAGCTATTTCAGTACATTACTAAGTAAGTACCTACTTACATACGTCCTTTCAGATTAAGAAAATCACAACTTCTTATTCGATTTTCTTCTAGGTATAGTCCGCAACAGTTAAATCTAGATTGTAAGCTAAAGCCTTTTATTCCCGAATATATTCCTGCTGTTGGTGATATTGATGCATTTTTAAAAGTAATTCCTCCCGAAAAGTATATAAGTGGGGAACCGTTTGATTCAAGCGAGTTTCAATTAGGCCTTGCAGTACTTGACGAACCATCAATCAATCAAAGCGATCAAGCCTTATTGCATCTTCAGCTCAGAGCAAGTACATTTGATGTAGGACAAAATGATGAAACAGTGGTTTGTATTAGTTTTATTGCTATGATAATAACTTAAATACATTTAATACAAAAAAAAATGCAAAAGAAGCATTCGTTGTGGAATCATATTCGTTGCTTCATAATCACAATCATTATCTCAGGGACTGTAGGAATAAATATATTTGTTTAACAAAAATATCTTTGCTTATATTTTATCTAACCTAATTGCAAAAATAACGTTTCCTTTGTATTTTGAATATCAAAAATTAAAAATCAAAATTGTTCATTTTTAGTAAGGTAAATATCTCAAGCATATGTTGAAGGCAAATTTAATACATTAAAAAAGATCATTGTGTCACTGTCCAAATGACTAAAAGTATAGGTAGGGATGTTAGATAATAAAACGTAAAATAAGCCGTTCACTTTTTTATATATTGAAATTCATTTTGTATAGATAAAAGAAGTTTTTTATAAGAATAATTTATTGTGAAATTCATTTCACCTTTTTAGTAAATAAGGAGGTACCCAGTAGAATGAAGATTCGGGCTATAGGGCCGTGGTCTAAGTGAACTGTTGTGTCCAGACGTTTCGTCAGCTATTGCGGTTGACATCCTCAGTGGCAGTGCTGCGTTGACAACGTAAACGTAGATTATATATCGATGTAGCGACTAGATATAATCTATGTTCACGTTGTCAACGCAGCACTACCACTGAGGATGTCAGCCGCAGTAGCTGACGAAACGTCTGGATACAATAGTTCATTTAGACCACGGCCCTATAGCCTGAATCTGCATTCTACTGTGGATTCCGGCCGTGAAAGCCTTTGTTCTTATAAGTAGGTACAAAGTTATAAATTATTATATTTTTAGGTAGTTAAAACTATCGATCGTGTAGGTCGCAATTTAAAAACGATTGATAAATGGGTAAAAGACGTAATCGATCTCCACAAAAGTAAATCTGCACCAGTAGTGCGATATTCCAGGTAATTCTCTCAAATTAATACTTGAACTCAGTTAAACAAAAATTAATAGTATTTTATTTGTTTGGTAGACCAATGCCAGATTTAGACGATCTTATGCAGGAATGGCCCGAAGAAATAGAAAGTTTGTTAAAAATTCACGGATTTCCAAGTTCTAAACTCGATTGCTCTTTAAGCAGTTACATTGATGTTATCTGTTCTATTTTGGACATTCCTGTACACCAAAACAAAATAGAATCTTTGCATTTATTATTTTGTCTTTACGCAGCAATAAAAAATTCTCAGTTTTACAAAAGCACGAGCAATAATGATGATATGAAGGCATCTACTACAAATCAACCAGATCAACTTTTACTAGAATAGCAATTATTTTTATGTCAGGTGTTTAAAGCATAAAAATGCATTTAAAATAAATTTTAAATATTAAAAATGTAATACAGAAGTTTTATTTATTTAAAACAAACCAAAATAACTTCACAAATATTTATTAGACACCTTAACACGTGTTTCAGTCATTATTGTCAGAGGCTTACAAGAATACCTACTCCTACTACAGTCTTATGATCGTAATTTACCAATTAAATAAAGGCATTAACAGTGAAATTAAGATCAAAAGGTTATTATAGCAGTATGCTTCTACAAAAAAAAATCGGAACCTGTTGATCACTTTAAATAAATGAATAATTAATAGATGATTTATTAAACAGTAAGATTTATTTAAAGCACTTTTTTGATATACATATTGTATCGCATATATATAAACTAGATATAGCTATACATAAATCAACACCATAAAGCGAACCTACTTTCTATCTAAAAGTAATTGGTACGCCCGTTAAAGATATTTCAAATATGATTTTAATTCAAGAAAATATTCTCATCAGAACCTTTACCGATTTGTCAACCCTTTCCGATTTGATAAGTAAAAAACACTACACATCCGTACCACAAAACTCATAATCAAACCCGTGTAAGGTAGGGGGCGCTCAAGTATTACGTAACGCAATTTGGGGGAGAGGGGGTCTCGTAAAACGTTACGATGCGTTACAGGGGTCTTTCTTACAACACGTTACGTAACATTGTTTTTTTTTAAATAAAAAATTAGGGAATTAAAACTACCAAGTTGGCAACCCTTTTCGTATACGTTTTACGGGGAATCCCTCGATTGTATTGTACGTCATTTAATATCGTTTTCGTTAGTGTATATGCAGAAGCACATTGCAGTAGTCAGTGTTATTAAAGTGAGTTCATAGTGTTCATACTGTAATGTCCTCAAAAGAGGGAGATTTCTATCATCAGCTGCTCTTGACGTATAAAGGCTCTCATGCTGACTTGCCAGCGCAACTGTGTTGAAAAAATGCCAATGCAATTTGGAAAACGACTAAAGAAAAACAAGAAAATAAAGAAAAGTTTATAGAACATACAAATGATGTTATACGATTTGCGCAACATAACTTTTGCGATTTTTTGGTAAAAATGGTCACTTGAGTATTACGTAACGTTTAGAGAGGAGGAGGGGGTACAGAAAACGCTACGGCGCGTTACAAGGGGGAGAGGGAGGTTCAAAAATCTTCAAAAACTGCGTTACGTAATACTTGAACGCTCCCTAGGCGCAAGACTAATCAATACGGTTTTGTACAGAAAAATGTCATAAAACTCTGTTGACTTTGCTTCGCTTAATACCTACGGATCCGTTTTGTGCGGCTTTATACTCTCAGGATAATTTGAGTATAGCAGACGACGTTAAAGTTAGAATTCACAAGTTCAAAGGGGAACTTGGGTGCCTGTGTCTTTAGATGCAATTAGGGAGTTAGGGATGACTGTACTATCTCTATTGATTTAGGCTAAATTGGCAACTTCAAGGACAGAGAATGTCGTAAACTACTAACTGCACTTTTATTAAGTATTTATAAATGTGTATAAAATACTGGAGGCTCCGAGCATATGCCATAATACAGCGAATTTATACGTTTATTTTATTGGACAATGAGATATAACTACTTTAAACCAATATTAAAGACGGATTATACAATTTAGAATGACTAGTCAACAATTTAACTATAGTTAATTAATAACCTAATAGTATAACAATAATTTTAGCCCACCTTATTAGGTAATTGGGGAACATAGAATAAAAGGCTGGGAACTAACACAGGGCGAGTGAAGACGTTAAGTCGTCTCACCGTCCTGTATCTTTATGATTTTGAATTCGACTCCGAACTCCTCGATTATTATTAATTAATTATTACGGTCGCTAATTGACCTATTAACACAGTAGGTAAGTTAGGTTGTTGTTTTAAATGAATAAATTAGATGTACCAAATTTGTACCAGTGACTTAAATATGAATTTATGGATACTATTTAACAGTACGATAACACATATTACTTTAACAAGAGAATTACGACGAGATTACGTACACTTTTATTTTATAAATATATTTTGTTACATTCACAGTTTTCAGTAAACAATTTTTACTTCAATGTATTATTTTATTTTCTTGTTGACTGTTTACAATTTAAGCATTCCATAAAACCTTTCGCTTCTAACTTTTTGTTTTTGAATGGCGTAGTTTATTTGTAATATGATATTCGAAACTTCTTTGCAATATTATCAAAATGCACTGATAATATTTAATTTCTTCAGTTTCATTTCCACTTTAAAACAGACACCAATGAAATGTGATCTGAAGGAAATGTTACACTGGGTAAAGCTACATGTTCCTTTACATTTTCACTGCTAGGTAAAGGCACTACTTCCGCAACTTCTAATAATTCTGTGTCATAAAAAATGTAATCTAAACAACCTTGAAAACCAGCAGTATAGTTGGTATATTCTGGAGTGCCACAAGCACTTGCGAGCTTTAGAGATTGAAAGATGCTAAGATTTTCTACGGCTTCTTCTTTATCTAAAACAAGTTATCATCATCATCATAAGGTCATCAGTCCTCAGACTGGTTGGACACGCACCTCCACTCTTTCCTATCTTGAACTAATCTTCGCATTTCCCTAAAACTAGAACCCATATTCTTAACTATTTGCGAACAGAAATCTAAACTAGCTCTACCTCTATCCCTCTTAACTTCCGTTTCTGCCTCTAATATGTCTGACTAGACCTTCCTGCCTAAGAAGATGTCCTCCTAGTCTATCTATATCCACGGTATTCTCATCATTCGCCTCTAACACCACATTTCGAACGCTTCTAATCTTTTCGCGCCCACTGTCTATGTTTCGCACCCGTACAGCATCGTGCTCCAAACATACACCTTTAACAACTTTTTTCGAATTTCTAAGTTAACCGTTCGCGAGCATAGAAGTGACGTTTTTTTATTGAAGGCGACACGACCTTGCGCTATCCTCTGCTTTATATCCCTACTACTCCTCCCGTCTTGACTTATATGACTTCCTAGATACCTAAAATCTGCCACTTCTTCTAATTTTTCGTCTCCTATCTTTATATAAAATTAACAGGAGTGGTTTTTATAATGTGTAACGAAATAAAAAGATATCTTAAGAATTAAAAAAAGAATAATCCAACTTACTGCTTCTCCAGTCTGAACACGATATAGGAACACTTCCCGTGGTATACAATTGATAAATACCACATTCAGGAACGCTATTAAAATCTCCACAAAAAACTACTGGTATTTTGATGTTCAGTTCCTAAAACAAAGTGTTGTTATATACGTAGTAATCTGCAACGGCGTGAGAGTCAAGTTCTCCAATAAGAAACTTCGTGGATTTTATCACAAACCGTTACATTTTTTAGGAAAAAAAAAATAAGATTTCAAATACGATGGATTAAAAAAAAGCGTGCTTATGACTACACGATAGAAGTGAAAACGTATTTTCCAATATTAAAGTTTATGTATATAATTACATTTATGTTATACATACAATGGATTAGTATGGTGAATCAACAAGATAAACATTTATACTATCTCTGTATCTTTGAAGTAATATTAGTTACAATGTTACGAAATAAAAAATTATATTTGTTAATTAATTATATTGTGGAATTTTGCTCTGAATGGACTTCTTCATAGTTATTACAAAACATGGCTAATGACGACTGGAGCCGAGTATACACGATTTAGTGTATCACCAGTTGGAGCACGCTTGATGTCGAGTTCACTATGTGCTAAATTTTATAGAAATAGGTTGCTTATCAAGTTTAAACGTATATATGGTCGTTAAAAATATTCTTATTTCAGACAAGTAAATATTCTTGAGTTCTATAATCGCAAAAAATTACAGTACATTTGGTCTCCATTACAACAAACAAGTGTAAGGTCATTGCGTCAATTTTAATGCGAACATGGTGGGTAAAAACTGTTTCGACACCCGCAGTATTTCTTGTACTACAATTATCTACCTTCTTATTAACTATCTTATTTACTTAAACGATGATTAAAGGGTTTATTAACACATTCAATTCAATATAGACTATTACAACCCGTTGAGAGAGTAATTTGTAGTATTTCCTATACCCGAAGAAAACTTCTCTGTTGACGTCTTTCAAATTACATATAGAAAAACTACAAATATCACATTTTTACCTTTTCCAGTTTGTCTTTCTTTGACTGAATATATTTAATAGCTAAGGCTCCTTGTAAAAGTCGAATGTGATCAGCATCTGGATGAAAATACAAATGAGTATTTGCAATGAGAATTACTTCGTTTAATTCCTTTGATTTTAAAGCAATAACTTCAATAGCAGTGGTTCTTGCCAAAATTCGCTCTTTGAGCTTTTCATTTTTTGATATTACTTGCCAAATTTCCTTATACAATTCGTTGGTTTCCAAGCATTCTGAAAACACAATGCTATCTCTTTCCAGTAAACTTAAAAGGAAAAATAATCAAGCTAAATCACTATTATGACTACATAATATTACTACAGTTGCTTTTTATTTATTCACCTGAATCTTTGTTCATTATAAAAACACGCTAAACCTTCTGCAACCTGACCACCTTTCAAACACAAATCAGATTGATACCCAAAGTTAGAAAGCACTGGCTGTAAATCATTTTCATAAACCTTTTTATCTACTTCTTGTAAGCAAATTATATCTGCATTGTATCCTAAAATTAATGATTAATCAATTTGTTTTCTTCATTCTTAAAAACATTTTTTATTTAATATTACAACTTTGCTTCAAATTAACAAAGTCTTTAACCTTATTATATTCTACAAACATGAACTGCTTTAAATTTTTATACATACCTGCAGTATTACTTACCTATTAATTCTTTTATAATTAATAACTTTCTGTAGTCAATATGTAAAGCATATGCAGGACAATATGGATACAAAATATTTCTAGAAAAATCAGAATCACTGTATAAATCTGCTAGAACATTGTAAGTTACCACACGAAACCTACAAATTTAGTAGAAAACATTATTGCAAAAGCACATGATAATTATTGTTATGTACTTACTCTTTTGAGTTTGGTTTGCTTTTTGTAAACTGATGTCTTATATCAAAAGAACATAAACCAGGACTAGCTTGAACAACAACATCTGATACAACTTCAGTTAATGGTCCAATTAAATCATCATTTTTTGGTATACATTGCAATTTCAAATAATAATTAATTTCATTATTTGACAATTGCATTAGAAAACCTTCACCTATTCGTATCCATTCTTTTTTGTCTTTAGATTTGTACCATATAAATTCACATAAGTCTTTGTTAGTAAAACTTACTTCAAATTTATTAGGATATACTGGATAATTAGCTAATAATACATTAGATAAGCATATGCTGTCTACCCACGGACAATTTTTCATGATTTTGTACTGTTTTTCTAGCACAGTTAAAATAAGATTGTTCTGTTTAAAAACATCCTGGCATATTGCACACTTATCTATAGTACCACTGTTACCAAATAATTCAGCTGTTACAGTAATTTCTGACGTTTTTTCTTTATCATTTCTTTTTCTTTTGAGCTTTTTAGAAATTACTTTTTCAACATTTGTACATATTCTGTTTAAAAAACTTTCAACATTTTCCGTTACCTTCCTACTAAAGTTGAAGGTTCTATCTACCTTTAAAGCCGAATTCGTATAATGGAAATTCATGTAAAATACGTCTGACGAATCAACATATTTTAAATAGGCTTTGTCCATTGCAAAAATATATTTATGACGATATCTAACAGATTTTATTACTAACTTTTTGATAACACTTAACCTCAAGACTATGCCATGATTTTGAAACATGTTGACATTATTACTGAGTATGTTTGATCCATAGATAATGTTTGATCAGAGAGATCTCTGGTTTGATGCATAGACATATATTAATGGACGGTGCCTTAGCCGTATGTCCTTATAATAATTTCTTGGCTTGACAACTGAGGGAGATGGCGTATGGTTACGGACTAGTGCTATCTCCTTCATGACACGCTTACACACAGTCGTGAGAGAGATGGATATTGTCCGAAACTTCATTCCATCTCTTTCTTTTGTTGTACCACAATTCAGACCGAAGAGATGGAATGAAGTTTCGGACAATATCCATCTCTCTCACGATAGTGCGTAAGCATGTCATGAAAGAGATAGCACTAGTCCGAAACCATACGCCATCTCCCTCACTTTTCAAGTCAAGAAGTTATTACAATGACATACGGCACGTCCATTAATGTATGTCTATGGTTCAAACACTATTAGATTGTCATGACCGGTCATGACTTGTCTGTGGTTATCATTGAACTAGACTACAGATGTACAGATACTGGAACGCGCTCGCTATATTAAATTTGTGAGCGCAAGTGTGCGAATAGCTCCGCTGCTGCGGAGTGGCATACCATCTCTCTTTCACACACAGGCGCTTATGAGTCAATAGCGGTAGTCAGGTGAAAATGAGGCAGGTGTGTGATACCCGTGTATGATTTTACATTGTCGTGGGGTATATTTATCGCAAAAATTATTGGCGTATTTTAAAATTTGTTAAAAAGCAATAAATTCATTAGAAATAATTTTTATTGTGACCTAGTTAACAAACAAAACAATACAATTAATCCAAAAAAGTTTTAATTTTATTTATAATGAACATTAAAAAGATTCAGAATAAATAAATTGGTGGATGTTGTCTACCTGCCCGAGTGCAATAGATGACAATTAATCCAAAAAAGTTCTAATTTTAATTAACTAAATTATT